TCTTAAAGTAAAAGTTGTGTATGGGCTACCACTACATCTAAACACCAACCATTTGTTTTCCATTTAAAATGCACTTGAAGTGTTTGCATAACATCTCTTCTTTAAAATATAAATAGCATACGAACAATCAATCTAACTAGACATTACATTAGAATACCACTTTTAAAATGTGAATTTAAAAGTGGTATTCTAATGTAATGTCTAGTTAGATTGATTGTTCGTATGCTATTTATATTTTAAAGAAGAGATGTTATGCAAACACTTCAAGTGCATTTTAAATGGAAAACAAATGGTTGGTGTTTAGATGTAGTGTTAGCCCATACACAACTTTTATTTTAAGACACTGAAGAGGGGTTGGATGAGTATACTAACCCGAAATGCATATGTCATTTTTTAAAGAATAAAAGTGAGTTCCTAACTAAAAGTGCTGTGAGTCCATCTACCAAAAAACCTTTTAGATTACAGAGATGAATTATATACATAGTAACACACAGCAGTCCAGATACAGAATTATATAAAAAGTTTTATATTTATCAACAAATAATGATTTTGCATATTTTTAATCTTTATTCCATTTAGTTCAAAAAGAAACTTATACAGTGCATGTAACAGGGTTCAAATAAATTAACTAACAAAGATCATACAGTAGAGCGTCGTTTATCCGAATCAATTGGGGACTGGGGTTGTTCAGATAACTTACTTTTTGGATAACTGATTATGTACGAAAAAATACATTGACTATCCCATCCTGAAATTTTTCTCCGTTGCGTGTTGCTCTGCGTTGAATTTTCGTCAATGTTAAGCCTAACGTAAACTTTTTAAAATAATAATCATGGCTATTGTATCGTTAAAAATTATTTCTTTACTTTGTACAAACAAAATAAATATATTGAAAAATATAAAAACAATAAAAAATTATACTTCAGAAGTTAATTTAGTATCAAAAACGTAAAATATTTGAGTAGCCCAAGGCATAGCCAAAGATTGCAATGCCACAGCACTAGCGAAAATTTAAATTTGCCAACTGTAATTCTTTCGGATAAACGACGCTCTACTGTATTTCAATTCTCGCACACAATCATTGTCATTGCATACTTCTTAAAACATTTTCTTGATTTTTAGCAATTCTGTTTATATTTT